TTATTTATACATTATATCCCTGTTCAAGCTTAGATACATCTACCATATAACATGTTTATTATAATATTTGTTCATTAAATGATATTGACCCTACCCTATAACTATAGAGCTTAATGGTCCAAATCGTACATGGAACCGTTTATTTCTATCTAAAAATGTTAATACTTGTTCTGGTGATTGTAGACCGTACATTTATACCTTAATTCTACAAAGCCTTAGATTTGACTCAAGAAAATGTTATTTTAGTAGATGTTAAAAAAGCATGATGAGTAACATGTCAATTATTGTGTTATAATTGGAAAGTCGATGCATAATAAAATCATTGAAAGATCTTTGAGTTACTTGGGCATTATTAATACAAAGTGTTGTTAGTATTTGTTTTGTCGATATGATGAACTGCGGTATCCTAAATTTGAGTCACTGTAATGCCTTCCGCATGTAAATTCTTAGTTTTTGCAGTATTGCCTGTGTTACATTCTGATTTTTATTATTTATGATAAAGGCATTAAAACCACATGATAGAAAACAGATTTATCAATATATTGCTGTACGGCCGTCTTTATATTTCATTGCCTTAAGAAAAGAATGTTTAGGTTACCTTGTAAAGCTGTTTTGAAGAAATATATTCAGTTAACTTGCCAGATATTGGAGCTTCAGATGTATTTCTTATGGAGCTAATGATATAACGTAATCTTCATCTTCCTAATACATACTTTTCGCGATCCCATCCATTTAAAATTGATGGACTAAGACACTGTATAACCCATTACCCGATATACACGCCTTTTAACGCCTTTTTTACCCCCTTTTTTGTTGTCTCAAATGGTGAAAAAATACCTCATTTAGGCCCCCAACACTTGTTTTTGTTTGAGAAATGCTGTTTAAAAAAGTGACCACATTTTCGGCGCGGCCCCCAACCAAAAGATACATTAGGGGGTTGCCAGAAGGAGGTACAAGAAAATTTTGGACTTTTGAGAGGCTAAAAATGACCACAGATCGATCATAAGGTAACGTGTAACCAACGCTGAAAAGCATTTGACTCTATCTCAATCCATTTAGAAGTTGCAGCATTTTGAAATCAATTTTGATGGAAAAAATCAACAACGCAAAATAGTGATTTTTGGCAATTTTGAGATGTCCCTTCGTTGCCATGGTAACAGGAAATTTAAGCCTGGGCATGTTGTTACAAAGGCAATGGTTAAGTAAACATTTGTGCCAAGTTTGATTAGTATTGAAGCAGTTTTATAGTTTTATAGCAACTTGTAAATGGAGACTTTTCAATGAAAACAGCCATTTTTCACAAAATGCTCATGAAGTAATGGGTTAAATGTGGACAATTTTGAATACTGGTCAACAAACAAACTTTGCTTTATGGATAACATATATATAACCATTTTCAATTCATTTTGTCATAATTTTGTTTTCCGGGGAGCTAAACATAAACAAAATTACAAGAAAATTATGATATTTTATTTTTAAAGAACTTTTTTATTTACAATTAAAACGAAAACAAAATACACTTATTGATTATAACACCACATAAAAAGTATGTTTAGTCCCAATAATGAGACCAGTAAGCTAACATTTTCTTGTATACACCGTTATTTAAAATAAAAATTATGACACGCCTGTAAAAAATCAAAATCTATATAAAATATTTGTAAAGTTTCGGGGAAAGCAATTAATATAAAAGCAGAATTATAATTAAAAGTTCTGTTATGAATTATATACATGTAGTTGTAATGAAATTATATTAATGTAAATATACTCTGCAATGTAAAGTGATATACACGTTGTAAGAAAGGTAACTTAAAAATGCTTCATATCATATCATAGAAGCTCTACACTATCACGATATCTTAGAACTGTTTACCATTGTCTTGTAAATTGAACTTGTCAAACCTTTAGAACCCTGATAGAAATAGTAATGACTTTCATTGGATGATTCTAGCAAATACGAAGGCAGATTTGCTCATTGGTTTTACTTGCGGTAATTGCAAAAAGAAATAGAAAAAATAGCCAACTAAAAGTTCACCTTTAAGTGTGTTTGTTAACAAGATAATTATGGAAATTATAAAAAAGATGGATTTTAAACAAACACGTCAAAAAAAAATATTGTAACATTAACATGATCATTTTGTCTATCAGAAATTTTTAAGTAAATTTAAATAGTTAAGAATCTATTATTTCTCATAGTTTTTCAATAGCACAATTGAATTTAAACAAGAGAATAACGATGGCTTTTCATAAAAGTAAAATAAGCTGGTCCAAACTGTAATTTATCACTTCATGTTTGCACTCTTTATGTCATTGAAATATTGAACGTTTTTGAAACAATTTGAATACAGCCAAGTTTGTCTTTGTTTATGCTTTCAGAAGGAAGCCGAGTTCAACTCGCCTTTAAGATCCAATACATTTATGTAGTCTATTCCTCTTCCATTGTAATTTCAATATTTCCATACAGGTGTATTGGTTATGTTACTTGTCTGTGAAGTCAATGAAAGTATAGGCTGTTCCTCCATTGAAATGTTTCTGTCAGATTTATCATCTTCTGTACTAGAATAAAATTGATACTACAATTGTATTATTAACATTCAAAGCTCATATCTTTGCAGAATAAACTATCAAGAGTGCAATCAACTTAACAAAAATGCATTACATAACATCTTATAAGGAATTACACATTTATAAGCTATAACTAACAGCCAATGAAAACTGAACCTAAATGATCTCGTAAATGAACTCACACATTTTTGATTATGAGAGAATGTTTAGCCTAAATTTCACCAGTGACTTCACCAGTATATTACAGATATTCTTCTAGAAATTATTACATTGTCAAATGAAAGTTTAATAAACTATGAAATTCTAAATAAAATAAGGGAGGTCCAGATCTCCGCCTCTCAACCGAGGAATAGTGGTGGGCTCAAGCCCATCCATGTTGATTGTTGAACACAGATTCTTTGTGAATAAGTTATTATTAAGTTGATTTACCCTAAAATGAGTCCTATATTTGACAATTTATCAATCACCTGTGCAAGAGGCACGTGGAACCATTTCATAACATAATCAATGCAGTGTGCAATGGTGAGACATACACAAGTAATTGCAATGAATTCGAAATTACAAATTATTAGGCTTAATTATAAGATAATCCTTTTTAATTTACTTACCATTGTTTTCCCAGCAGCTTTTTTTTCAACAAAATGGCGGATGCACATGTGTGTACATTCGGAATACTTCTATTTGATCCATACATAGACTTAGACTGTCAATAAGCAGTAAGCAGTAGGCAGTGAGCAGCAGGCTGTCCAGTTAGCAGTAGGCAGTGAGCAGTAGGCTGTCGTTTATGGAATTCCGTACTTATGTGACATTTCCACACTTTTTTCCCCGGAACTTAATTCGTTTTTACGAAATAATGATTTGTAAATACGAAATAATAATTCGTAATTACGAAATATTAATTCGCTTTTTATACATTTTTTCTGTTTCGTTTTGTCGAAATTATTGAGTTTTGAAATAAAATATTATGTTTTTATGATCGCACGGTACCCATACATAAATTGTAAGGAAATATTCTTTTTTAAATTGTTTTAAGATTAATGAAAGACTGGAGCCCCCCCCCCCCCCCCCCCCCCCCCAACACACACACACACACACTCGCCCTTTTAGTTTTACTAATGTACGAGTATATGATAAAAGAAAGGAATGATATAGCATGTTTCTGTTTTAAAGAAACATGTCATAAAAGAGTAATTGCCTCAAACAATAAACATTGCTGATAGGAACATGTATTTGACAATGAGGAAAAAGAGACCATTTTGGATAGAGAATGACTTCTCACTCAAAAAATCCTGTTCACTTAAATATTATAACTTGAGAACCATTCGGCTTATAATCGCAAGGTTGATCAAGGCTTGTAAAAGGCCCATTTGTGAGATAATTTAAGTAGGTTCTTTGTCAAGCTCACAATGACCTTAAATAAGATTTCGTAAAAAGGAATTAATATTTCGTAATTACGTGTTAACATTTCGTAAAAACGAATTATTATTTCGTAAAAACGAATAAATATTTCGTAAAAACAAATTATCATTTCGTAATTACGAAATAACATTTCGTTTTTACGAATTAATATTTCGTAATTACGAAATAATATTTCGTAAAAACGAATTAATATTTCGTAAATACGACTTAATATCTCGTAAAAACGAATTAATATTTCGTAAAAACGATTATTATTTCGTAATTAAGAAATAATATTTCGCTTTTACGAATTAATATTTCGTAATTACGAACTGATATTTCGTAATTACGAAACAATATTTCGTAAAAACGAATAAATATTTCGTAAATACGGTTTAATATTTAGTAATTACGAATTAATATTTCGTATAAACGTATTAACATTTCGTAAAAACGAATTAAATGCTGTGGGAAAAGTGTCGAGAATGTCACCTTAGGGGCTCCGTAGTATACCATCAAGTCTGAATAAAGTACTTTGAGACTTGATGGTATACGGTATTTTTTCATATATTTAAAAATTGTTTGGAAACCAGTTTAATTGTTGTAATAGATGTCCCATTCGTGTTTAAATAGTTAGAGTGTTTACAGGGGTGTATCCCGTTGGGGGGGGGGGGAGGATCTGACCCCAAGCGTCTGTGGTTTTGGCAATAATTATAAAAATGTGGTAGAATATTCTCTGACAGCACTTGTTTTAATACTAAAATAAATATTTATAACCTGACAAATGAGTCAAAAAAAAAAAAGAATTCCTGTGTTTAATAAATATTGTGAAAAAAATATTAAGGTATGTGTGTATATGTAGATATATTTAATAATCGAGAAGTCTCATCTGATGTTTTTGTCTTCCTAAGAAGAGGACATTGAGACGTTGAGCCTGTACGATTTAGTAGTGGTCACTTGCGGTGAAATTGGTTGTAACTGATATGTCTTTCAACAGATATATATAACGGTCAAGTGCGTGTAGCGATTCCTGATTATCCAATCATTTATGTCTATTTCAGGTTTTATACCCGGTCACTGCACATCGATGGATGTCGAGGTTGGCAAGCATTACGTGCTGTTTCTAAAGGGTAAACAAGAAGGTGATGATTTTTATGAGCAAAGTCCCGGTCAGACTGCTGCCCCTAAAAGTAAATTGATGGACTACTTGAACGTCTGCGACCTGTTTATGGAATATCCGCAAGGTGAGTGGCATTAAATACCATATTACATGTAGATAATTCAAAATGTTTCTTTCATTTTGACCTTAGAGTCTTTCGCAGCAGTTTGTGAAAATTGGATGTCCAGTAGATGACTTGTATCGATTTTAAGGTCACTAGGCCAAAGGTCAAGGTCTCAATGACACTTAATGGCATAATCCTTTTCCAGCAAATTACTTGAATAGAATTACGAAACTTGGAAAAGACATCGCCCAATGTCCAGTAAGTGACCTGTATCGAATTTAAGGTCACTAGGCCAAAGGTCAAGGTCTCAGTGACTCTTGGTGGCATTTCCCCAGTAAATAACTTTAATAGGTTTATGAAAATTGATTGAGACATCGCCTATGACCAGTTACAGTAAATGATCCCATACCTATTTGAGGTCAGTAGTCCAATCGTAAAGGACACGGCAACATCCAGTAAAAAGCCTTTTATACTGGAAGACTAGAGAATGAATAATCATGGGTCTATGGAACTTTGTATAGACACATTGCCCATGACCAAGAAATGATCCATATAAATCTAAATTGAAGTAAGTATGTCAATGGTCAAGTTCATGGTGACACTTGGTGTAAAATCTTTGTCCGCTTAACAACTTGAGAAGGAATCAGACTTTGTTTGTGAAACCTAGGAGGGACAATGCCCGTGAAAAGTTGAGGTCAAGGAAAAGGTCACATTGACACTTGAAGAAAATGCTTGACCGATCAATTACTTATTTTTGATGTTTCTTTTTTTTTTGTCATATGGAATGACGGAGAAAATCATTTACTCCTTACCACAAACCCTACTGAATTCTTCGAGCAATATTCTTAACCTGGAAAAAAGTCAATCAAATAATTTTGTTTGTTTGTGAGATAGAGATATTCACATTGCTGGAGATAATTTATTTCTTAAATCTGACGGAACAAAAAAATCTTGAAAAGGACAATTTTAGTTTGACATTTGTGTATCGGTGCTTCTTTAATATAAAACAAAACATTTGAATTAAGAAAATAAGTTATTAATTTTGCCCTGGCAAATTAAACATTGTTAATCAATGATGATTACTTTGTAATTTCGATTATTTCTTCATGTTGATTCACCAGTTGTATTGCAAGAATTAATGTTCTTACATATGTTTATATGCTTGCTTTATGGAATTTATGTATACGCATTAGTCATTTTTTCATGTTATATTCATTATTAAATTATGTATTATGTATTCTACGCAGGTTCTTTACGAGTTGAACAATATTTTGTTATCCAACGAGTTCAGTATATTTAGAAATAATGGTATTCTTTTTATGACATAGTAGACATACTCCAAAAATATGAAAGATTTGCAGTAAAAATATTCTTTTCTTTGTTGACAAGTTTATATACCGCCATAATATCAAAAATATATGCACACCACACCCGTGCAGTACCGTTTTACGATAATACGAAAATTCTGCACACATAATATTATACATGATGTGAATTAAATGAAATACACTCGCGTCGTTTGCATTGAGATAAATATAAGGATGTCAGATTTTATTCAAATATTCATTAATCTCACTTTTAGTTTTATGAAAACTGTACATATTATAAAAGCTGCAACACTTAAATTATCTTTTATTGCAAGTTATATATATACGGCTGATTCGTTTGCGCACGAATACAAAAAAAAATTCGTCTGCCGCTCTCGCTGTTTATTCGTATTAAACATTTATAATTTCGCTACAGTGTTTAGTTCAAGGTAAATTCTCTTTATTATTTTATGCATGGTAATTTATTTAGACTAGATTTTATGTAAATACAAAAACAGCAGATTAATTGGCATTCTAGCATGCGTGAGTTATTTTCTTATTTCTTTAATTAAATATAGGGCCAATAACATTCATAGAAACATAAATTCTAAAGAAATTTTCTTTCTCCTTTGTTTTTCCCGCAAAGACTAAACATTTTTGTTCGTACTGATGCATGTACGGTGACTAAAGTTGCATGACGTATTTTTGCGTTTTCGCCACACAGTCGGGAAATGTTAAATCAGAAAGATACGACGAAGTTTGTTCTGTTAATATCATCATAAAACAAATATTTTGTAGATGTGTATTATATTTTGTTGTAGAGAAACAAATTCTTCTGACATAGTGTGTACTATTAATTAATATACGCGTGAAATCTTCGGAGTACTGAAGCATATGTATGATTGAAATGCAGTGCAAAACAATCCCGCACTCACACGCAAAAATCAACGGCTATTCATTACAGTCCTCCCATTTTTTTGCAAACTTTGCAAGGAATTTTGCCTGGACTGGGCGGCTATCCGAGTTCGAGAGGTCGAAGTTTAACTGTATTTTATATGTATATATATATATATTTCAGCTTAATTAACAAATTCAGAATAACAAACATGTATATATTGGAACAGGAAACGACATGGTTTCAAGTTATTGGTGTTAACTGAATTCTTATTTGGTCATTTGGTTGATTCAGATCCGCTAGAATGAATTTTATCATGTTCTTTCTTTAACCAAATATAAGCTTTAAGGCTCTTAAAGCCTCAAAAATGTTATTACTTTTATATCTCTAACACTTTTACCGGGTATTTTTATTTCTCTAAAGCCCCCTCCCCCCCCCCCCCCGCCCGCCTTTTTTGCGGAGGGGGGTCTTACTAATCGTAGGCTATGCGCGATTGTTTGTTATAAAGTATTTGATATAGAAGACACAATGTCACTCTGTTTACGCTTCACAACATGTAATTTTAAACAAAATCTCTGCTTCTACTACATGACATGTATCTAACAATCATGTTCTAAATTCATCACTACAGCTTTAAAACATAGATTTATCTTTTCTTCAAAAGAAAAAACAACATTTATTTGTACATTTCTGAGGTTTATTGTGCCTTATGATCATTAATATTCCTAGAAACTTAACCCGCACTTAATCTGTAATACAAATTCCAAAAGCTGATATTTTTTCTGTTTGAGATTTATGTTCTATTGCAGGGAAGATAATTTTGCTGGTGTCACAAGAACTTGTACTTCGATCAACCCTTTTTACCCATTCCTTATTTGCACCACCACGTGACACATTCGTGATTCTGCAAGCTCGTGTCATATTTCGTTATTGCACAAACATGTGACACAATCTTTTATAGCACATACTCGTGACACACATTCATTATTTTACAACCCTGACTGCACGACCTGGTGTCGTTGTCCATTATTTCACAAACTCTTGAGACAATATTTCACTGCATTTACTCGTGACACATTCCATAAATACCCAACCTCGTAACACATTCGGTGATTTGTACGACATCGTGACGCATTCCTTTACTGTTCCTCCTCGTTCATCACACAAACTTTGAAAATAAATGCAAATAGTAAGAGGGCAGCGTTGGACTCCTGCCGTTACACGTAATCAACCGAACTATGACCGAAAAGTTTCGTGTGGTTATCATCGTGGCGTCAAATTCACGCGTCAAGCTTAATGTATATTCCAAGGGCGTAGCGCCCATTACGCACAATACGCAATTGCGTATAAAAAAATTCGGAAGGTAAAAAAATAAAGTTGAGAAAATCTAAGTTTTAATGACTTTATCGCTATAAATTTAGATCTCCATTTCTGTTTACAAAATATTTCGCTGCGTCATACTGTTTACTAGTGTAAACTATGATTGCGTCACTCTATCGTATGACGTTTCTATTAATTATCGTAATATATGTGCAATAGGAATTTAAGTTAAGTTTCTGGTTAACTCGAAGCATTTACAAACTTGTTGCACAGAGATAAATGAAAAGCTCAGCATTAATTTATCTACAAACTAAGGCTCATAATAACTTATCGTTGGTTAAATTCTCAGAAAATAAATATTATTAAGACTTTTCTTAAAGATTCAGACAAATCCTTTCTAAATCGTTTTCTTTGGAATAGCCCTATTTGAAAACGACTTTAAATCTTCTAGATCAAGATTTTAAAAATCATCAACTCGGGGCAAAATTTAATTTTTGGTGTGTTGTTAGTTGTCAAAATGAAAAGAAACATCCGCCAAATTCCAGGACAAGCGACCCTGTTTATGGTCCTAAAACAGGACCCCATTCAAGTCGATAATGAATCTGACCAGGCAGAAACAAAACAGAATTCACAAGACCTGGCATGTGACCCTCCTGTGATCAGCAAATCAGACGCCAATGTCGCGTCTCCTTCTCTCCCTTCTTCTTCTCCGTCCACCTCCTCCTCTTTGTCTCCCCCTGCTTCTTCTCCCCTCGAGAACCGCTAGAAGCTCCCTGGGAGCACGATTCCTGGATATCGGAAGTATTGATTTCAGAAGCTGACTAAGAGTGCCATATTCTAAAAAAATGTTGTCCTCACCAAACGGTTCGAGCCACATACAGGTTGGGTTGCACCTCTCAGAGAACTCGAAAAAGGGCAACAAGTAGGCGAGTGCCGGACTGTGTGTTTGAGCAAGAGAAGCACCCATCTACTTAAAGTACATCCCTTTATTTAATGGGGGTATTTTGTCCTCCATGTTTTGCCTTTAATGCGTCTGAAAATATGCTTGTTGCTTGTTCGTTGATTGACTGGAGCAACGCTAGAAAAGTCGTTGATGGGCACACACACTCAAAAGAACACATGAATTCCATCACAAGAGCCGACCACTATGTACGCATCTGCAGGAAGGAAGAGCAGAATGTGGTCGAGTTCGGATCAACGGCCTATCGGCAGAAAGTACAAAAGAGAGGCGTTAGCAGCCATCATTGAGGCCACATTTTTTGTGGGCAACAAGATATATCTATGAGTAAGTCCGTTACTTTCTCATCACCGCCTGAGGAGACCTATGGGGTGATCTTTAGACCATTTAATATCTCGTTGTATCTGGTAATTTCCCTACTTTCTTACGATGGAATAGAAGTGTTCTCAAAGTATAATTTTGCTCGTACATTTGGAAATAATACATACACTTCGATAAATAAGACTGAAGGCTTAAGAGAAAAGCCGTTCTTACCAAACTTATTTGATGAGAAATGCTATAAAAAACTTGTTATCTGGTTAAATGCGTTTTACAATTGAACGGGCATTCATACATAAACCAATTTCATGATCTGCATCCTTAATCAAACTTCACATGGAAAAAAATTTGTTTATATGCACGTGTAAAATAAAAAAAACTACAAGGCGTACACTTCCTTTTATCTTCACAAATCTGTTCGAAGTTATAATGAAATAAGTTAAAAAGTAAAACGAGCAGCTATATGTTTATCAATTTATGGGGAAAATGACTTGAGAATGCGCCATGCTTTACGTGCAAAAGTTGCTTCAAGACATGCCAGAGTCCACGATTTAACATCTAATTTTTCAAAATTTTCCGGGGGAGACCCCCCGTACCCCCACCAGCGGGAGGGGGACACCCCCTTCCGCACGCTCCCCCTCTCGGCACTTCGTGCCTCGCTTTGCGTATAATTTTTCAAGCCCTAGCTACGCCCCTGTATTCCGTCAGTTTGATTACTAGTATGTTGCTAATTGAAGAAATATTCAGTAAATATGTAATAAATAATACAAAATACAAAGCAGGAGCTTAGCAGAGTGCTCAGTACATTATATTATAGAATACGGTCCCTAATGTGCATGTATCATGTGAGCCGCCATTTTGGTATTTCTTCAACTAATGACGTCACAGTTGAAAACACGTACTTAGCAGTTGTCGAAAAAAGGCGAGAACGGCTTCGGCTTTACCGAAATTTCCCAAAATAAGCCGATATTTAATGATTCATCATTAGGGTTCCTAATCGCACCGGAAACCTTAAGAGCTCGTTACGTCATTTGACAAAAATCGCAAAAAGATTTGAGTGTGACTAAAAAAAAGGATTGGAGCACCACACTAAAAACCATATTCCGGTATATACCGGACAAGGCGCTTGAACTATAAAATGCTAAAATCTTGATTTTTCACCCAACGGAATGAATTTTAACACGTCTTATTCAACATTTCACACCGATTTATGTCAGATAATGAATGAAAAATGTAAAAATCGGCGAAAAAAAAAACGATATTTGTCAATTTTGTGATCATGATTTCTGCAAGCGTCTACAGGTACATCGTCGGATACCCACGATTGATAAACATGTCACATAACATGCAATCAATGTTAATGGTTCGGCCGTGGGTATCCGACGATGCTACAGGTACTACTCCAATCCTGTATTGAGTTAAATCCAAAAGATTTTAGATATACAATATATGTAGTGTTTTTAGACATTTCTAAAGATGCATGCATGAATATAAGAACAGAACTTTTTCTGTGAATAAGGCGTGATATTAAATTTATATTTTGCAGAAAATGGGTTCCCTCTCAAGCGCAAAGTTTGTCCAGAAGTGAGCAAGATTTCACCATGTAAGCGTCACAAGGTGGACGGTGATCCCAATGGCACAGCAGCGACGACGATGACGTCATTAATTACTATTTCTTTCTGTGTTCTAGCTCAATTAATGTAACATCAACAAAATATTTGATGCATTGCTTTATATTTTGTTATTTCTTCATAAGCGATTTTGTATTTTGATACTTATTTTATCTAGAGTTTAGTACAGTTCATATTTCGCTCAAATGGTTGATATTTCTCAAAGCTGTCTGTAATATTACTTTTTTATTTCTTCATTAAAGAGAGATTACTCTTAATTAACGAATGATTATTCATTAAATGCCTTTTTTAAACTTTTATTTCTATTTCCAGTAAAAATATTTAAATTTGGTGTCCAAAAAGTTACTCATTGGCCAATCACCTGAGCCATCTTTTAAATCTGTTCCGTTGTAGCAATTATTATTAGTACTGTTATACTGAATAAGTATTTTGTATGGAAATCAGAATACTACTTGTCTACATTTTGCGACTTTTGTGACAAAATTGAGCCGTGTCACGACAAAACCAACATTATGGGTTTGCGACCAGAATGGATCCAGATCAGCCTGCGCATCCGCGCAGCCTGATCCTGATCAGGATCCATGCTGTTCGCTATCAGTTTCTCTACTTGCTATATGGTTTGTAAGCGAACAGCATTTATCGTTTCTTTCCTCAGATAACAAGCATCTAACATTCGTTAAAACAGATTATTGAAACATTATAAAATCGATGCCCTTTCTAAAGAATTAAAAAAAAATATTTGTTTGCCAGGCACATTGTGCCTTTAATAGATGTATTGCAATTTGATCAAATTAGCAGATGGACAGATTGAGTATTTTGAGAGGTTGATACTGTGCCATGGAATCGAGCGATTATCACTGACAGTTTATATCATAATCATTCACATACATATCTTAATTTACTTATTTATCTAGTTAGTGTTTTACCGAAATATGACGTAAATGGCGTCGGAGTTACAATTGTTGTATATTGTTGTATTTGATTTGTTCCGCTTGATTAGACCCGTTCATCAAAATTTTGCCTAGATATTTCTAATTCAGGCTTCGTGAAGAAACATGTCTTTGACAAAAACTTCAAGCTCATCGATTAAAGTATTTACTATGCACAATTGACTCTCGGTATCTCAAATTTCAAGGGCCGGGTATTTTACTTCGAGATAAACGAAATTCGAGATACTAGGAGCTATTGTGATGACGTTTATGTTTATATCTAATTCTGTACAGATTTACATCATTGCGTATTGACTTGTGCTAAAATTCAACAAATTCAGATAAGACTATTTCGACCAAATGCCGTTTACAATTACTAACGCAGCCGTTCTTATCCGAAGTTTGACGGAAAGGACAAAGAAGTTGTGATTGGATTAAAACATAAACGTTAACATCATAACTTGCTTGGCTTAATTTTTATTATTATCATACTTTAAATTTTAATGAAAAATACAATCACGTTTTTTAGAGTTTATTATTATTATTATTATCACTGTCTGCAAATCGGATGTTATGATATTCGGCTAACACTTCTCATTGTTTATTCTTGAGATCTTAATCATCTGAAGTGTTTACATAATATACGAATACAATCATGTTACACTAAAATAAAACAAATATGTATGCTCTCATGAAATGGAATGCATGCTATATTATTAATATATACGTTCATAACGCTCTATGTTAGACGCATAATGTATTGTATGAAATAAAATATTAAACAATAAATTGACTTTATGTTCTCTATAATTTGCTTTGGCATTGCTAAAAAGTTACGATTTTAGCTGTACAAAATTGTTTTCAATAAGATGAAACAGTAAGCAGGGGATCATTAAAATTTATGTCAGTTCAACTTTGTCAGTTTAATGTCAGCTCGACTCTGTCAGTTTATGTCAACCCGACATTGCCAGATAATGTCAGCCCGACATTTAAGTTTCTGTCAGTTGGACTGGCAACACGATTTGTCAGTATGTAGCCACTCGATTTTGTCAAATTATTTCAGATCGAAATTGCCAGTTTAAGTCAACTTGACTTCCTCACTGTGTGGCTACTTGACTTTGTCAGATTAAGTCAACTCGAATTTGTCAGCTAATGGCAGCACGAGTTTGTCAGTTTGTGACTGCACGACTTTGTCAGTTTGTGCCAACTCGACATTGTCAGCTAATGGCAGCACGACTTTGTCAGTTTGTGATAGTACGACATTTCAGTTTGTGGCAACTCGACTTTGTCAGTTTTTGGCAGCTCGACTTGTCAGAATATTTCAGATCGAAATTGTCAGTTCATGTCACCTTGATTTCTTTCACTCGACATTCTCAGATTATATCAGCTCGTTTTTGTCAGTTAATAGCAAACTGATTTTGTCAGCAGCCGTTCGATCAATATAATTTGGTAAATGCGTACTAACCAATTTAGTGTTTGAAATCATTTGTACGATTCATATGAAAGCTGTAATCCTATTGGCCAAAAAATATGTTTAAACACTAAACATTGGTTCTGCTAACAGCTTCGGAAGCACATTCGATTTAGCTTTCAAGTTTGCTTATTCGACATTATTATAGTATTATTTTAAAATACCGTAGATCTCTTTTAAATAGAGGATATTGAATGAGTGTAGGTTTAATACTAAATTTATTGAACGAGTTGAATAAAATCATATTATGCGAGCCTCTGGCGAGCATAATTTTGTTTTATTCAACGAGTTCAATAAATTGAGTATTGAATCTACACGGATATAATATTCTATTTATCACATATATAAAATAAGAACGGTAAACTGTTATCAAGAGTCATTTTTCTTTGACGCGCCTATAGTGTAACGCTAACATTAGCGCGCTTTAACGCTATGTTTATAGCGCAAATGACGTGACGTCAAAGTGTTATTACACTATATTTTTGAAATGGACGTCACGTCAGGCTACAACGTAAGTCAACGGGGAAAAATATAATTTTAACATTTCGACCATATTAATGACTTTATGAAAAAAATGAAAAACATGCCTAGAGATATTGACGTCAGGGTTAACATGACATTAATTTAAATGATTTTACTATTATATTAAATAAAAAATGGAATGTTCAAATTTGATGGGACAGACTATAGTGTAATATCGTCTATTCTAACACAACCCGCATTTTTCCCTATTGAACATAGAAGGACAGAAAGTGTGTGTTATTATGCAACAGATGCACAGTTTGACGTTCTATATTTAGACATGTGACGTAATCATTATACACGTGACGTAACCACTAAAATTCCGACGCGCTGAAGATAAGTTCGGAAACAAATCAGACGGAATTTTGCTTAACTATCATGTAGCCTACCGCAACATTTATTTGTTAATGTCGTGTTAGAATCGAAATAATATATCCAAAGCAGTGATTTTATCGCTTGATAACATCACTGTTTGTCATTCGGATGCGCATCATTATATCACTCGGGCTATGCTCCCGTGATATAATTCCTCGCATCTGATGTTATTGAGCGATAAAATCACTGTTTGGGATATATTATTTCTTATTGGGGGCGCAAGCCCCCAATGTAATTACGATAAATTCAGCTTACTACCCTTTGAACGCGTTTAGGCTATCTAGCTGCGCTGAGCAAAAATAGTTCCAATATTTTGCCATAATATTCAGATCATCATTATACCGTATCTATTTTGAAATTGACTGGTCATTTTATTACTAAATTTTAAATCCTTTTATCACAAAATTACATATACCATTGCTTTACGCGATTTGAATATTACTACGCTAGCAGTCGATAAAAATTTAATGAGAACCAGTTAATTTGTTCTACCTTCTGGTTCCCGATGCACGAGAGCCAAAGTACTTGCATACATTTGGTGCCAATTTTATCAAGTCATAAATTAACTAACTATCATAGAACACAATAATTCAGGAAAAATGGAATACGATTTTCATATTAGATAACTTTCAAGCTTAAAATGGTTAAAAAGTGTGAATGACAGAGTAGTCTAAAAATTTGTATGCGTATGAATACGAACTATATTCCCTCTGACGTCATTTTCCCGAAATCGCCATCTTGGTCAGTTATTCCGAGAAAAGGCTGAGAAGATTTGCTATCAATTACGAAGTCCCAGCTATTACGTTGATATTTTGGTTGCAATCTATTCCGTATGTATAATCAAGTTTTCTTCACAATCTGGTAAAGCTATTGATATATTTCGCTTGATAGACTGCAAATTTAAGTGCATTACAAACTCGGCCCTAAAACGTACTCGGCCCCGAGTCAGCTCGGCCTTTTTTCTACTCGGTCCACTTTTCAATTTATTAACATATTGGTTTGTTTTATCACTCTTTATTGTTGAAACCACATAATTAATATCTGGACTTATTCAGAAACATGGAAAGATATTTTCTTAAATTATTAGATCTATTACATTTTTGACTACTTTTTGAACACATCTCTATAACTCAATTTACTGTATTAGCTATCTAAGCTAAACAAAATAGGCCCAAAACTTGTCATGGTATACAGGTAAAATGTTATAATTGGTGAAAAATGATAATTTTCAATTATGTGATCATGATTTTTGCAAGCGACTGGAGGTACTGCCCCAGCCCTGTAATGAATAAAATCCTATCCTAGAGGTCCCAAAATTTTAAAGGACTGGTAATAATTATAATTGTTAAATACAATATGACTTAAGTTCAGATATACTTATATCATACATGTAGATCTGATTTCCACAATTTTGCCTTCATCAGATGTAGGATTTCATATTTATGGTCAGTCCATAATTTTATAGATTTTTTATTTGTAAATTTATAGACATTTATATGAAAAAAGTAGTTGTATTAAAATTCAAAACCACAGGTCAATAATAATAAGATTACTGATTATATTATTAAATATAACAGATTCCAGATAATGTGAGTATCGGCATATTTTACGCTTTAAAATCAACTAAAAACGTACAACGTTACCAATTTGTTGCGTTCATTTACGCACTCTGTAAATTTATTACGCAAAGAATGTAAATTTGAAGCGTTTTTGGTGTGTACTTTCATTTTCGAAACAGCTGATTGACCGCTTCCATTAACAGTTGACTGTGTATCTATTTCCAATTAATACCCGTCAAGATACTTTCAACTATTTTTCTCTGTAAACCAGTCAAATTACGTCTTTATTGCTTAGGTGCTTGATAAAACAATTGTTCTATTTTCTTGATAATTGCAAGGATTTATTAATACACATGTAGTGCATGGTTGCTTCAAGGGCTAATCAAATTGACATTTTTTTCACACAAAATTTTACTCGATAGATTTTTGATCTATTTAAATTTACCCCCACATTCTGGAATGTGGGGGTAAGTAATTACCCCCAGTGTCAAAAAATTATCTGGAACTCTGTATAACAGTATGGTAATATTTAGAACAATTTGATGACTATCAATTTTTACTTTAAACAAAAATTTAAAAGTCATCATACATCAATAAAAACAACTTGTCTTTAGCAGTGGAATTTTATATACATCATATTAAGTCATCATTACTTTTATTTTTTAACATCTATATGATTATTATACTAATAGTATTCAAAAATTTTGTTGATGGAAGTTTATGAATTGGTAGAGGAAGGAATAATTAATCATGGCAGTGGCTAGCAGTATCAACCAGTATTGTTTGACAAAAGTGCTGGCTGTATGCGAGTCGCATACGACTAGCATATACTCACTGTTGAGGCTAGCTGTACAGCATTTTAAAAATGAGTTGCCTAAAACAATAATATGCAAACTTGTTTTTCTAAAAGAAGATTTTATTGAATATCATATACAATTTCAGTCAATGCGAAAGTCAAAAAAAAAATTCCTGCCGCAAGGACTTGAATCCTTAGATTTATTTCCGGCCTGATGATTTTTTACCGGCCCGGACTCTGAAAGGTTTTTTTTGTAGGGATGGGGGAGGGATATTGCCATAATTATAAAGAAAAATATTTAGCATATATGAATTGTCAGACTCAACTATAAGATACTATGAAAAAAATATACAGAAACATAATTAATAAAACATTAGCATAATTCACAAGAAAACAATACATCTTTCAAAGGTTTAATTTTGAAGATTGGAGAAAAAATATGTTTTGGTAAGGAAATTATCAAAGACAAGATGGTGGCTTACATTACTTAGCAAAAACTGGTCGTATCCTGCGGTGATTTTGGTTATCTTGGTCTGTGAATACAAGCAAAAATTAAAAAAAGAGATCGATCTTGGAAGCTTTGCATATTTTAGAAGGCCAAAAATTGTTTCAAACTGGCTGAAATTTTATTTGGACATGACAACTGACTGTATCGAAATTTATCTCGGCCCTACTGATTTTTAGTTGGCGAGGTCCGAGGACCGACAGTCTTTCGCACAGACTGCAATTTACAGTTGGTATAGTAATTTTTAGTGTTTGATGATCAGAAGATTTGTTTTTTCTTCTGAAAATCATGGAGTTGAATAATTTAAATCTGTGTGAAAGCGCAAAGAGAAAGAGACTGAAAATTAATTTATTATTTCTATGGACAATATAGATGTAATACATTTGTAATCAAACATGTGGGTCAATTTCCAACAGTAGTTGAATTATGACAAAGTATTTTTAATAATTTTATTTCACTTTTAGCTACTTGAAAATTTCATGCTGGATGTTTGCTTACCATTACATTTTGCATAAGAGCTCTATGATTGACATTAAAGTCCACGGGCCAATTCATTTCTGATATATCTTTCCGATATCTTGTTATAATATAAAAGGCTGAACGTCATCATAGAATTATTAGGAAAAAATATATATGTTCATTCTTTGTAAAAATGTTAGAAGACTTGCAAGTTACTGATTTTATCATTGCATTGATTTTATTTATTATTGAAAAATGCTGAACGGCTATCCTCAACAGTGTGTATAGGCTAGAACTTTCAGTTTGCATTTTAGGGTCATGACGGCTTTCCCGTTGCTGTCAACAAACTTTAACCTTTTTCATAACTTTTCAGATCTTGGTGTATTGTCTTCATACTTGGCCACAACAACCCTTCAAATAGACCAGACTAAACTTGACCTCCATATAAACATTCAAGGTAAAATATTTAAATTTTCTTGATTTTTTGCTATTAGTGGCTATGACTTTGTTATTTTTGAATGGATTGTCTTCAAACTTGTACGCAACAATCTTTTAGTATAGGACCTGATTCACTCATTAATGTCCTTGAAGCTTTTGTGATGAGAAGTTGTGCAGAATAATACAAACCCAGAACAATTTCATTTACTTGGTTTTGCAACTTCTGAGACAATGGATTTTAAAGATAGTTGTTTTCTTAAAATTTCAGGACAGTATAGTAGATTGTAAAGAACATTTAGTACATACTGTATATACACTATAACTACTATAGTATACTATAAAAATCTTTGTGCTTGGACAATTTTGAACAAATTGTTTCTTAAACAGTGTAAGAAATTAGGATTTGAATCGACTAGTCTGGTCGGACTACCAGAGTGGAATATTCACTAGCCCAAAAGACATTTCACTGGCACGATTCATTTGTTCAAAACAGTTGTTTATATTGCCTCTGAAAATACAGTAGCCTGGTCGGCTTGTTACTGTGAAAAGTTGGTAGCCCGAGGAGAAATTTAGTAGTCAGGCCCTCGGACTACTGCTAATTTCGAACACTGCTTAAATTATTGATTTGATATCAACTAACATAATTATTGGGATACTATATGTATATCTAATAATAATTATATTTTATCTTTCCAACTTTCTGTTTCAGATGGTCGGCCTACATGTCAGATTTGTGAATGTGAACGGCAGGATATCGATTTTAAGGATGCTTTAGGGTCAATGAGAATGAAATCAAGAGAGATAAAGGCTAAAGTGTGAGACTGTCAATCTGACAAACCTTGCAGTGAATAAATGGTAAAATGTTTCTTTCAGTAGCATGGCATTTAAGGAAGTGGTACATGATTATTTAGAAGTGGTTGTATATGATATTTCTTAATTATTATATTCTAATAGCTTTTTGTGCCCCCACGATAGTGGCGGGCATTTAGATTTACCCTTGTCCGTCCGTCCTTCCGTCCGTCCGTCCTTCCGTCCGTCCTTCCGTCCGTCCTTCCGTCCGTCCGTCCGTTCACTTTTGTGTCGCACGTAACTCAAAAAGTATTTGACCTAGAGTCATGAAACTTTACAGGAATGTTGATCAGCATGTGTAGTTGTGCACCTGGGTATTTTCGTCTGGATATTTTTAGTATTTTCAGAGTTATTGCCCTTGACTTAGTAAAATTTTGCAATTTTCAACTTGTGTCGCATGTAACTCAAAAAGTATTTGACCTAGAGTCATGAAACTTTACAGGAATGTTGATCAGCATGTGTAGTTGTGCACCTGGGTATTTTCGTCTGGATATTTTTAGTATTTTTAGAGTTATTGCCCTTGACTTAGTAAAATTTGGCAATTTTCAACTTGTGTCGCATGTAACTCCAAAAGTATTTGACCTACAGTCATGAAACTTTACAGGAATGTTGATCAGCATGTGTAGTTGTGCACCTGGGTATTTTGGTCTGGATATTTTTAGTATTTTCAGAGTTATTGCCCTTGACTTAGTAAAATTTTGCAATTTTCAACTTGTGTCGCATGTAACTCAAAAAGTATTTGACCTAGAGTCATGAAACTTTACAGGAATGTTGATCAGCATGTGTAGTTGTGCACCTGGGTATTTTGGTCTGGATATTTTTAGTATTTTTAGAGTTATTGCCCTTGACTTAGTAAAATTTTGCAATTTTCAACTTGTGTCGCATGTAACTCAAAAAGTATTTGACCTAGAGTCATGAAACTTTACCGGAATGTTGATCAGCATGTGTAGTTGTGCACCTGGGTATTTTCGTGTGCATATTTTTAGTAATTTTAGAGTTATTGCCCTTGACTTAGTAAAATTTTGCAATTTTTAACTTGTGTCGCACGTAACTCAAAAAGTATTTGACCTAGAGTCATGAAACTTTACAGGAATGTTGATCAGCATGTGTAGTTGTGCACCTGGGTATTTTCGTCTGGATATTTTTAGTATTTTCAGAGTTATTGCCCTTGACTTAGTAAAATTTGGCAATTTTCAACATGTGTCGCACATAACTCAAAAAGTATTTGACGTAGAGTCATGTAACTTTACAGGAATATTGATCAGCATGTGCAGTTGTGCACCAGGTATTTTCGTCTGGATTTATTTAGTATTTTTAGAGTTATTGCCCTTCACGTAGAAAATTTTTGCAATTTTCAAATTGTGTCGCAAGTTTCTCAAAAAGGATTTGACATAGTCAATAAACCTTATGGGCAGGTTGCTCAACATATTTTAGATTTGCACCTGGGGCTTGGCTTGTGGATTTATCCAGTATTTGTAGAGTTATTTCCCTTGACTTAGTAAAAAGATTGACAGAACAGTGTAGCGGTGGGGGCACCCGTGTCCTATGGACACATTTCTAGTTTCTTGACTTGTTTAAAGGCTGACACAGGACAGTTTATTTTAAGTCAGTGAGCTTCTGTCACTGGATAAAATCCAAATTTATAAAAAGGAATTACAGTGTATTTAAATATCATCTTATACTAGAAATTAGGAACAAAAATAATAGCAAGAACAATTGTGACATGTAACATGTATTTAGGAATTCAGCTTTTCTTTCCTTTTCACCTCAGGGGAATTCACATTAAAATATTGAATATTCACAGTAAGCACTCCGACATATCTGACATATATGATTATCTTATCTTCACTTAGCTATCTATAGGTTATCAGAATCACTCACATTTATAAATTTAAATAATTTTGAAAAAATTGCTGTTTAGCAAATAGATAAAATACTTGGGGTGTCTGTGGTGGATTGGTTGACTTTGAACCTATTAAGCCTTTCACTGCTGTAGGTTCGAGCTCTGCAAGGGTTTATGGATTATTTCATGTGAGAAAGCTATCCAGCTTATTTATGGAACATTGATGGTACCCAGGTGCCTGAAATCATACACATAGGTGCACCAAGGTCTTCCTCAACCAGTAAAGCTGGAAATTGTGCTTTAAATTGCTCTCCCCCCCCCCTCCCCGAACAAAACAAAACAAAAATAATGGCATTTTTATTTTGCAATTAACTTTTTTCTTAACAAATATTTCAGGAAACAGGCGTTTGTATGACAGAACAGTAATAGCAGGAGTGAGTGATAAGGACAGATGCCTGTAGATGTGTCTTCATGTCGGAAACACTAGAGAAATTGAAATATTTGGGTTTTTTCAAAACTTAAAAGAAATTGGAATACCAGGAGACTGCTTGCCCTTTGCAATGTTGGATGATGTGATGTCGAAAGCCTCATGAATATAGTAACTTGACTTAATCTTATTAGAAAAAGAAATGACATTGAGGAGAAAAACTAGTCACCAGTCTTTCACCAAGAACATGAGATAACTTTCCAATATTTGAAATATCATAATATGTATAGAACTTTTAATGAGCGAACAGTTTTTCACCAGGAAAATAAGATCACTTATCTATTTTTGAAATATGTATGAACAGAACTCTATCAACTTCAAGGTGAGAGTTTATCACGAAGAACATGAGATAACCTATGTATGAACAGAACCACATTTGTATATAGAATAGATAAATGCAGAATCCCTAAAGAAACCCCAACACGACAAAATTGAAAATGTTGCAGGCTCGGTTTGATTGCAGGCGCCAGTTCATCACCGAGAAGATGAGCTAACTTATCAATGTTTGAAATCTGTTATACCCCCGCACAACAAAGTTGTAAGGGGGTATACTGGAATCAGCTTGTCCGGCCGTCGGGAGTTTTTGTCAGTTTTTTCTTGTCCGTCCAATAACTTAAGATTCCTTTGACCCACAGTCTTCATATTTTGGCATGGAGGTAAGTCATGATTAGTAGATGACCTCTTTTAATTTTGAGAACACCAAGTCAAAGGTCAAGGTCACAGGGTCTTGACTGAAGAAAGCTTTTCTGCCCAATAACTTAAGAATCCTTCGACCCACAGTCTTCATTTTTGGCATGGAGGTTAGTCATGATTAGTAGATGACCCCTATTTATTTTCAGGTCACCAGGTCTAAGGTCATAGTCACAGGGGCCTTGGCTAATTAAAGCTTGTCCTCCCAATTACCTAAGAATCCTTTGACCCGTAGTCTTCATATTTGGCATGGGGGTTAGTCAAGATTAGTAGAATACCCCTATTGATTTTGAGGTCACTGGGACAAAGGTCAAGGTCACAGGGGCTTTTATTACAATTAGCTTGTCTACTCAAATGGTCTCATATATTCATCATAAAACACCTCCAGGCAAGGCTGCATGAAATGGGGGGAGGGGGGGTGTTATTGAAGTCATTCAATGGCAGTTTCAGTTTTGAGGTCAGTAGGTCAAAGGTAAAGTTCACTTTGATCTTTTCCACTAAAACATGTAGAATACATAACTTAGCAATGCACTGGCTTACTTCCCTCAGATTTGGCTGGGAGGTTGTCTGAGCTGTAAATGACTACTGGTGTGATTCTGACAAATTGGTATGTGGGGGTATTCACGCCATGACAATGGCAGTTCTAGTTTGTACAGAAAATATCAAGGTGCAAGTTTCTTTTATTAAGAATAGACTTATTGATTAGATAACTTACAATATTTACAAACATTTATAATACCATACCCATTTAAAGTATTTCAGCTGAGAGTGTATTATCCAAAATACATGTATTGTTATAATGTACTTTATAGTATATTTATTGTAAAGTTTTGATTCTACTAGATTTTAAAAACATTTAGATTTTTCTAGATCTTGAAAATATTTTGTTCCATGCTCTTTCATTTAATTTTGAATAATGAATCCAATAAATACCTATAATAAGTAAAGGATTAAAATTGATAATGTTTTCTATCTTTAACTTATATAAAAGTACAAAAGTAATGTTCAAACTGCTGGTTAGATTTCAAACAGGACTAAACAGGAGTGTACAGTGCCATCCTTAGTTGTGCACATTGTTGGCATGTTCTCATCGTCAGATACCCACGGCCGAACCATTAACATTCATCATTGATTGCATGTTATGTGACATGTTTATCAATCGTGGGTATCCGACAATGGCATGTTCTGTTTCTCTGCACAAAATGGCCCCAGAGTTAAAAAAAAGAAAAATCTATCACATGTAAAACTGCCAAAATTCAAAAGAGTGATCAGAACCATACACAGTTTTGGGAGACATGTTTTTGTGACAAAAGCCCTTCAAGTTCATATATGACCTTGACCTTTATTTGATATAAAATATCTGGAGTTAGCTGGAATTGTCATTACTTTGTTATTATTTACAGATTTGATTCATGCTTGGACAAACAAACACAAAACCAACATGTTGAATTTTTCTGATATAACTTTGACATTTAAATGACCATTACCTCCAAGGTTAAACAATTGAAATTCGATCACATTGTCATAACTTTGTTTTTGTCTATGATTTGATTCATTCTTGGACAAAAGAACAATTATCATTCAACTATGACCTTTACTATTCAAATTTGAAATTTACTTTATACATTTATATTATGTTTTCTAGGAGTACTCTAATAGATATTACAATATTCTCCTACTGATGTGTTTGACTTCCAATATAAGAAAAAGCCGAGCATGGCCCAGGCTAGATAGTGGCTCTTGTTTTCAATGCCAACTTGATTAAATGTATCCATTCCAATTTACATTCTCACATGTATTATCTATTGTGCTTGAAAGGTTTCTACAAAAAACAAGTTTGTTCTTACAGTCCTGGTTTTATTTTAGAAATATTTTAAAGACAGTTAAATTTTCTGTTTATTTTCTATCTGCATAATCATTTCTTGGAATAAATATAGTAAGTACACTGATTTATGTGTTATACACTCACATAAGGAAGTACTTTACATGAAAATTGGTTAAACAACTATAGTTTCCCAACAAAATCCAATGTCATAAATTTAAAATGTTTATTCATGATATATATGATATCAATTATGCATTTTGCCTGGGTTTGTTAGTATGTTCTTGGTACATGATTTTCAATTTTGACAAGAGTTTGGAGGCGATACTATTATATTGTGTACAAAATGGGCACTTATTCAACTTTGAAAGAAGAATGATATCAGATTGGAACACCTAAAGTAGATTGCTATACAAATCTCGAATTTTTGTATGCAACATATTGCGCCCCCATCAGTGCTTTCAGCACTTTGATTATGTAATGGCTTTATTACACTCCTGCGCCTCGGTTTATGTGATAAAGCAATATTATTCATCCGACAATGCACCTTATACGAAAAGCAAAATTTGTCTGTTTAGAAATATATAAGATTTGAAATAAACATTTGATTGCCTCACAAATGGCATTCTATATTGGATGCATTTGCTATAAAACTCCGAATTTCTAATTGTTTGTATGCGTTGTAACACAAGCTGATTTGAGTTCAACAAGAATCGCATTGTATTCTTTGCAAAAGTCCAACCTCGAATAATGATCATTTGTAAAAAAGACCTATTATTAAAGGACATAATTCTTTGTTCCCGTTTTTTTTAACTAATTACATGTAGATGCAAAATTACCTGTTTTGAGAATACCACTTGTCAACAAAGATGATATAGATGTACCCCAGCACCGGTTATTTTCAGTAGAAACACAAAATGTTATGTTGCTGTGATTCTGTTAATGACTGTCAGATTATTCCGTAAAATAAAACTGGAAAATGATTAAAATATTCCGAAGTTTAGCAAATGAGTAAGCAATATTGAGATATCTGTGGTAAGTCCCTCTCAATTGCAACTTTCTTTCATCTTTCAATAATTCCAGTTGATAATTGAGTAATGCTTTTAAGCCGGTGCTAGGGGCGTGACTGATGCATCCCTCAAGTACAGACTAAGTCAAAACGAGTCTGCAATTTTTATGTTATTTTTTTTGTGATTAATGATTTCGAGGGATTACTGTTTTCCTGATTTTCTTTCTGAAATAAACAAATTCCCAAAACAAATGAAACAAAAACAAAAAAAAAAAAAACAGATAAGGAAAAGGTCTTTATTTGCTAAAACACGAGTGTAGATTTATAATTATTTATATACTCATATTTTCCTTTAAATGTCTTCTTATAGTAATTAATTTGCCCACATCCTTCTTGCTTTACACTTCTAAGAGGACAGTGCAGAATAATCGACTATACAACGTACATTATCTCCCCTTGAACTTAGCGTTTTTTTTTTTACTCTAAATACTTTATTTCTTAAGGGATCAACTGCAAACTTTAAATATATGTTCCTTATCATCAACCACATGAAGTGTGACAAATTCTTAACTGTTGCACACATTATCTCCCTTGAACTTTTTCTTGAAATTTTCTGTAAAAATGATATTTTTTTTTACTATAACTTCTTCATTTCGTTTGGTATCTACCTCAAACTTCCAATATTTATTACTTATATCATCACCCATGTTACTTATTAT